AAGATTTTATTTATTTAGTGTAGTCTTCTGCCTGCATGTGCCCTGCAGGCCAGAAGAGGGCACCAGATCTCATTATAGATGGTTGTGAGCCACCACCATGTGGTTGCTGGGAATTGAACTCAGGACCTCTGGAAGAGTAGTCAGTGCTCTTAACCTCTGAGCCATCTCTCTAGCCCCCCAATTAAATTAATGTAGCAAACTGAGCTACAGTTTTTAACCAATTAGAACTCTGATTGCCTATTGCCTAAAATTCATACAGAATTGCAAGGAATCCAGACAAAATAGCCAAAACCAATCTGGAAAAAGAATGAAGCTTGGCCAACTGTGGTACAAGCCACAGTAATCAAAAATGTTGAGGTAGATATACAGGACAGGCACACAGATTGATGGGATAAGAACTGAAAGCCCAGTGTGCCAAGATGATTCAGTGGGGGACAACAGTCAACAAATGAGGTCAGGACAGTTGGAAGAATGAAGCTGTCTGCATCTAAGGCCTCACAACAAAAACTAAAAATGGTCCAAAACCGGAGTCAAAATTGTGAAGCTCCTAGAAGAAACCTAGGACGAACTGTCAATCCCCAACTCTGCCAAAAATTAAAAGCTTGTTTTTCTGAAACAGGGCCCCCAACTCAACCAGGCTTGTCTCACACCTGGGGCTGACCTTTAACTTCTGATCTTCCTGCCTCTATCTCCCAAGAGCTGGGGTTGCAGGTATGCGTCAACACAGGGAGGCTCTGTATCATTTTGAGCATTCCAGGACAACATTTTACCAGTTGGGCTATACTATACCCTCAGCCCCCAAATTAAAAACACGTGTGCTACAGACAATATCACACTTCCAAATGTGCTGTGGTGGGCAGTGCCCCCTCCCAGTATGCACACACAGAAAAAAACCAAAACCACAAGACAAATCCCTTAAAAATTAGAGTATCTGCAAAATTTCAGTATTTCAACTGAATTGTTAAAAGACACTTGAGCTGAAAAGATTCACACACAGGATCAAATGACATGTTTTCATGTAAAAGATAATGTATAGTGTGCACATAAAAAGACCTTCACCAATACTAGTAAAAGATGCAAATCAAAAGCACAGTGAGAGGGACTGGAGGGGTAACTGTTGTCATGGTGGTTGCCACACAAACGTAAGATTCAGGGTTAGATTCCCCAGTACCCACACAAACTGCTGGGGTGTCTGTAATCCCAGGGCCAGGGAGCAGACACAGGAGGCCCCCGAGACCTGCTGCCAGCGGGTCAGTCAAGCTGAGTCTGAGCTGCAAGTTCAGTGAGAGAGGCACTGAAAAAGCCAAGGAGTGTGAGTGAGGAAGATGCCGACATCCTTATGTGCAGGTGCACACAAGCCCAGCCCACACAGATCCACAATGAAGTGCCATTTCCCACCCTAAATCCTCCAATACTAAAATCCTAATTTGTATCCTGAGGCTGGTGTGGTGGCACACATCTTTAATCCCAGCAGTTGGGAGGCAGGTGGATCTCTGAGTTGAAGGCCAGCCGCCAGGACTACATAGTGAGAGCCTGTCTCTAAAACACATAAAATCTGAAGTTAAATATAGATATTATCTGGCATTCAGGTGAAAGAAAAAAAAAAGTTAAGTTGAAAACACATAGCCACACAAATGGATGAGTATGGTGGCTTGGGTGAGATGGTCCCTAGAGGCTCACATATTTGAGTACCCAGTCCCTAGCTGGTGGAACTGTATGGGAAGCACCAGGTCTTTGAAAAGTCACACCTGCACCATTCCCAGTTAGCTCTCTTTCTCTGCCTTTGGTTGTACCCATGGAGGCCAGAAGAGGGCATCAGGCCCCTCTAGAACTGCAGTGTAGTTCTGAACCGCCATGTGGGTGGGTGCTGGGAACCATACCTGGGTTGGTCCTGGACAAGGGCAACAAGTGCTCTTATAACTTCAGTCTCTGCCCAGCTTTAAGGGAAGTACATGGAAGCAAAGCCACTACCCACAAACCTGCTGTCCACAGATAGTCTTCCCCCAGAGGCTTTGTCTGTGGTGTGTCTGCACATGTGCAGTTAGTTTGTCAGGTGGCGTGTCCTGCTGTAGGTCCACACACACAGCCCTGTCAGGCAGTAGCTCATTTACATTTATAAAAGCTAGTGAATGTTCTATGTGTGTAATTACAAAGTCAAAGGAAAGAGACTTTCCTCTAGTTTGTGTGACAGTTCACAGCCTTTCCTAGCAGTGCCTATACCCAACCACAAAGAGAGGATCCACCCTACACTGGCTTGGTATCATGAAGAAGTATGGAGATCCCCTTTTCTCACTGGGTCATCTGGTACCAGAGTGATGATTGGCACTGTCTGAAAGATTACATTCACATCACTGTAGAGGGAGGCCACACTACTTCCTTTTGGGGATGTAGCTGGTCGGGTAAGTATTATGAGGGTGTTTCGGGACACAGGACTAAATTCCAGTAAAGATGTTCTTTATGGTGACCACCACAGTTCTGTCTCTAAAGCAAATCCAATAACCAAGGGGACAGCAGCCCAGTAGGACAGTTGGGTGCTTGCACTGTCTCTCCCAGCTTCAGTTTCATCTTGTATAAAAACCACATGCTTGGTCCTAGTAAGGCCACGTGACACTGTCCCACAGAGTGGAGCCTGCCACACCTACCTGAAGCTTGCGAAGCTGCTTGATCACTTCATCTCGGGCTTTGTTGGCAGCCTCGATCTGAGCCTCCAGGTCCTTCAGGTCTATCTCCATCTTCTTCTTTGAAGCCACAGCAAGCGCCCGCTGTTTCCGCTCATCCTCCAGCTCTGCCTCGAGCTCCCGTACCTGAAGGACAGTGCTAGGTTACATTATATTGGCTACTTTGGCAATGGGGGCTTGTTACTCTGCAGAGGTCCCTGTCACCAAGAAGTCCCTATGTATTACTAATGGAAAAATTGAGTAGGTCATGCCTTCTGGAGGCTACCTGGAGACCCAAGAAGGAAGAGCTTAGGCCCAAAGTTTAGGTAACTGGAAGGAAGATGGGAGGCACGAGACAGTGATTTAACAAGTAGGATAGATGCACAGAGGGTGCAGGGCAGCAGGCTAGTGGCTGGGGTGGTGGTGGGGGGAGGGGGAGCAGCAAGACTGGAGCTGTGGGGAGCTAGGCCTGCTCAGTGCTGACTTGTGCTTGGCAAACCTGGGATTCTGGCTCCAAAGGTGGGCTCACTCAGGTTTTGGGCCTCGGACCCAGGCAGAAACCCCATTTGATACACCAGCAAAGAGGAGGCTAGCAGCTGTGCAGCAAAAGAGGGGCAATGAGGCGTTGTAGAGAACACGGATAGAGGAAAGTACAAACACAAGATAAACGTGAGCCGGAGGGCAGGGCAACACAACACATCCCCATGGTCACTCATTTGGGGGCTTTCTTGAGGCTTTAACTGTACCACAGGAATGGGACAGTACTAGTTACTTGTACCTTGTGTGAGGCAGAGGACAAATATGTTCTTTATCATTCCAATCCAGTCCTAATGCCTACATCACTAACAATGAACTGAAAATGTTCAGACAGGAAACCATTGAGATGGGAGCTGGGTCCGCTAGTTGAGTTCCTGTGCCATGAGCTTCTTTATCTGTCCTGCTTTCCCATTCATTCAGAAGTACCGGGGCCTCTCACTCTCAGGACAGACAAACGACCTTCAGCTAGGCTGATGACAAGTGGTGAGGCTTCTGCCCATGCTGGGAGGGTGAGCACATGTGCACAGCTCCTCTAGTACAGCCCAGGCCATCAGAAACAGGCTTTAATTCACTAATTTTGTATAACTTACTCAGCAATAAAGAACCAATCAAGTTAATGATAATGAAACAAACCAGTAAAATAAAATATAAATCAAGACTTGTTCCCATGAACTCCAAGGGACACTTAAAATATCCAAAATTAGTTTTCAAAGTAAACACACACACACACACACACACACACACACACACACACACACACACACACACGATTTAAAAATCATACTTAAGTATCAACCACCTTTCTTTCCCTCATAAAGAACCCTTTTAGGGCAGGAGATATAGCTTAGTGCCTAGTGTGTGCAAGGTCATGGATTTGATCCCACCCCAGTGTGTGTGTGTGTGTGTGTGTGTGTGTGTGTGTGTGTGTGTGTGTGTGTGTGTGTGTGAGAGAGAGAGAGAGAGAGACAGAGAGATTTAAGTCCCCTCAGGACCTGAGTGGTGGGGATCTGCAGTGTGCCCCTACCTTCTGGGCAGTTTCCTCTCTCTCCCTACACCTGAGTACCTTGACTGTTTTTCTCTGTCAGACAGCCTAGCTAAGCAGCAATGTCACTGGAGAAAGAGAAAATCTAAACCAGTGACAGCCAAGTCCTTCAGTAGTCATCATTATTCTCCAGCTAATGCTTCCCAGCATGAACTATAGGGCTGATGGCTGGGCCGGCTATCAGAACACACAAGTCAAACATACCCGAGGGCCACACCTCCCTCAACCCACCTGCTTGAGCAGCAATCGCTTCTTTTCTTCATTCTGCTCATCTCTGGTTTGCAGGTCTCTTTCAAACTGGGCCTTCATGGCCTGCATGTTGACCTCCAGGCGGAGCTTGGCATCCTCAGTGGCCTGGAGCTCATCCTCCAGCTCTTCCAGCTGGGTCCTCATTTCTTCCACCTGCTGCTCCAAGGCCCGCTTGGATTTCTCAAGCTCGTGGACCTAAGACACAGAAAGCATCAGAACTGGTGAGTGGAGGCTGCTATTCTTCTGTTCAGTGACCTGACTTAAAACTGCAGTTCTGACTTCTATGTTCACACTTGTTAGACTCACCCCCTGTGCTGAGGCACCTGCCTGCTGTGTGAGGCTACAAGAGCCTCAGAGGAGACCACCCATACTGGAAAGGCTCATGAGCAAACCTGTGATGGAAGGGTCAGTCTGAAAAGCAGGGCATAGCCACAGGATGCTGACTGTTCTCTCAACAGTGTCCCCAACAAACACGAGCCTCTGAACCTGGCACTGTACTGAGTGCTCCACCTCCTGTCCCAGCTGGCCTGCCCAACCTCCCGAAGCAGACCTAAGCCTGTCACACATTCCCTTTGGGGTCCATGGTCATGTTAGCTTTCACAGGGGCGAGCAGAGGAAGACCTAGGAAATAGTGTTTGGTAACTGAGCAGTCACAAAAACCACAAGAGTGTGTAGTGTTGGTTTACGGCAGAGAAAATGACTATGGAACCACTAGTGCATTTTCTCTTCACTTTTACAGGGTTGTGTCTACTCTGGCTAGCCTCTTCGTGGTTATGGAGCTGGTATGCAGAAGGCCCAGCAGGACTACGGTGGTCTTCTATCATCCACAGTGTGGTCAGATGGCCCACACCCAACGCAGATGACACCTGCTCTTTATTTACAGTAGGTTTCATACTTTTCAAAACCAACAAAAGGATGGAAGCTGGGAGAAGAGCCAGGCTGGCTTTGACCCACTCTGTGACTCTCTGCCAGTCAGGCACTGAGGGAGGGCACATGGCAAGGAACAAGCATAAGTGATCTTGGGGAAGGCACACATGGGAAAAACACACAAAAACTTGTCAGCTGTAAGTCCTGACACTGCAGATGCCCTGGAGACAAGCACTCAGGCTTCAGAGGGAAGGCCAGGTGGTAGTAGGGAAATGAACTTCAGTGCCCACCAACCTCCATCTCCTAGGGGGCCCTGGAATGTTTGACAGCTACTGGTGATGCAGATGTGAAATCCCCTTGTTGAAGGATGCCTCTGCCAGGATGGATTGGGGCAGGGAGGGCCAGGGCGAGGATAAACATCTGGACACCTGCTAGGGTTGCTGCAAGAATTCCACATCTGGGGGGCTGGAAAGATGGCTTCAGCAATAAAGAACACTGATTGATTGCTCTTAGAGGACCTGGGTTCAATTTACAGTCCTTCCATAACCACCTGTAATTCTAGTTGCAAGGCATCCAGTGCCCTCTTCATCCCTCAAGGGCATAAGGCATGCACACAGCCTGCATGCAGACATACGTGCAGACAATATACTCATAGATAAAATAAACAGATTAAATAAAAAAAAGATTCTGCATGTGTGTTGGCCCAAATGAGAAAACAGATTGGCCTCTATCTGCCTATAGGACAAGGCTTAAATTGGCTTTGCTGAGGCTGGTGTCCCCGGTCCCTCATGTCTTGCAGCCATGGGCAACTTACATTCTTCCCCACATCATCTTTGGAGCTCATCAGGTCCTCCATGTCTGCTCGGAGCTGCTTGTTTTGCCTCTCGAATTCCTCCTTGGCCTCCAAGGCTTCTTCCAGGGCCCGTGCCAGAGACAGTGCTTTGGTTTCTTTCTCTCTGGCCTCAGCTTCAGCCCGGTCCCGTTCTTCCGCATAGCGAGCAGAGATGCTCTTCTCTTCTGCCAACAGCTGCGCAAGAGCAGACGGGCACAGTGAAAACACCACTCACTAATGGTGCAGGCTGGCTTACCCCAAGACCACCACTAACTAGGGTGACCATCCCTAAACAGACTTGCAAAGCTCTCTGAGCCAACAATGCCACACATGGAAGATTCCATACTTGCCCTCATGTAATAGGCTACAGTCAAAACACAAACGTGTATAGGCCATTAGTATGGGCTTCTGTGAAACAGCAATGAATTTTAGGTTGACACTTGGGTGCTGTCCACAGCGTATCATTTGTAGACACACATGTTCCCAGATGAGATATTCTCAAGCCTGACGGTACAGTGTTCATCCCAAGAATCCTGCATGGTAGCTATTCCCCTGTGCAGGATTCATGGGCCTTCCCATGTTTTCTGAACACCGTATTAGTATGTATCACTTTTGAGTAAGAAAAGATTGTCTTAAACCAAAACCAAAGTGAAAGCTTCTTCAGGATGTGGGGTCTCGGGCCTGGGACACGGGTGCAGCCTCTATCACCTGATCGAATTTCTTCTGTTTCTTCTCCAAGTTGGAGACAATCTGGCGCTGGTGGTCCAGGTCCACCGTTAGGTCGTCGAGTTCCTGCTGCAGCCGGTTCTTAGTCTTCTCCAGCTTGTCGTATGCTAGGACCTTCTCCTCCAGCCGCTGGCTCAGTGCCTCCACGTCCTTAAGCAGCTTCTTCTTGGCTTCTTCCAAACTCTCAATTGTCCCCAGGTCATCATCCACTTTCTTCTTGGTGTCAGCCAACTAGGTTTTGGGTAAGGGAAAAGAGAGTCGGTATAAGAACTTGTCTCACTTTTTGCATTTCACCCTTGTTTTCAGTATTATAAACTAACATCGACGGTGAACCATGGAAAAGGAGCCCTTAGCTAAGTTATAAAATGGAGCCCAACTGAGGCCTCACAGAAGCCACAGTTCTGTCTTCAAAGAGTGTGATGTTAGGAAGAGGACATCAGCATTTGGCTGGGTCAAAGAAAAAAAGTGCAACGAGCTTAATTTAGTGCAGCCTAATTAACTGCCCCAAATGCAGGGACTGAGTCCCACCTGGCTGGCCAGTCATAGCCGCTCATAGCACACATCTAGGGCACCACTGCTCCCGAAGAGGACACGCACCTGGGACTGCAGGGCCAACACCTGCTTTTCCAGGTTCTTCCTAGCCTCCTCTTCCTCCTCCTGCTGCTCCTGAAGGCTGTTCTTCTCCTCCTCCAGCTGCCGGATCCGACTGCTTAGGTTTAGTTTCTGGCGAGTCTCCTCCTGAAGGAGCTCCTGTGTGTGTAAGGGTGAGTGTAGGTTCCCTCCATCATCAACCCCGGGCTCGAGCCCCACTAGGGACCAAACTAAAATAAATCTCTCCTGACAATTATGTCATAAAAAGGAAGTACCTCTGGGGACAAGAAAAACCTAGTGACACTAATGAATACACAAGACCATTTTGTAACCATCTGCAAAGCAAACCAGGCTCTAAGCCCATTCTCACCCAGGCCCAGGCTACACCTCTCTGCCTTACACATGCCCTGTGCTGCGGTCTCTGCTACAATCTACTCCTCTTACTCCCTGCCCCAGTCCCAGCATTCAGCAGGCATTTCTCTCTGAGATCAGTCTCAGCCACCCTTTGATCACTTTACCTTTCTTTTTTTAGCTTGATTGCTTCCCCAAAATGTAAATGTGAAGATGTCTTTGTTGCTTTTAGGCCTGAGCATTTTTAAAGCTGTTATAGGGCTTTTGCTTCTTCTGACTCACTGACAAGGCTATGCCTTGCCACAGTCTGCACTGGGTGCTGAACTTATCCCTAACAGCTTAATTATTCTGCTCTCTGAGAAGTTTACTCCCATATTCTGAGCCCTTCCTCCGAAACCCTGAAACAATGTTAGTCTTGTCAGCTGCTCTACCACAAAAAATGCATTTGTCAGACATCCTGGGCACACAATGTGACATTCTGACAGAACTTCAAAGCTTTGTTTTACTCTCATTCTATCAATTGGCCAAAAGTTTTGTGTTTCAAAATCTAGCACGTACCCACCCCATCCCTTGCTCCCCCAGAGTACCTGTGTGTCCTGCAGTTGAGACTCGAGACCAGCTGCATCCTTAGCAAATTTAATACCTTTCTTCTCGGCTTCTTCCAGAAGGGTCGAGACGTTATCTAGCTCATTCTGCAAGGAGGTGAGGATGAAATTCAGTTCCACAGTAAGAAAATGATCTATCATCACAGCTCCAAGAGAACATAGAGCAGGGCATTTATGTTCATGTGTGTGTTACGTGTGTGTTGTGTGTGTGCGCATGTGTGTGTGCGTGTGTGTGTGTGTGTGTGTGTGTGTGTGCGCGCATGTGTGTGAGTGTGAGTGAGTGAGAGAGAGAGAGAGAGAGAGAGAGAGAGAGAGAGAGAGAGAGAGACTTTAACTAGCACACACAAGGAATGCTACTCAAGGAGTAGTGCTAAGACCTGCTCTACAGACTCCTCACCACAGTCTCCCACTGAATGGGCAGGGGCGCTTCAATGCCACGACAGTGTGTGTGTCTTTCACAATGAAACCACATCTGTTGGAAGTCACTGCAGTTGCTGTGTGGAGGGCCACTTTGGACCAGCAGGCGTTTTCTTTTGTGTTAATCTACATTAGGCATATGCTGTGGGCACATAGAATTTGTGTTCTTACAGAACTTGAAGTTTGATTTAAAGGACTCAAAAGTAAACAGGCATACTAGCAATCACCCCAAAGTTCTTCCAACTTTTAAAGTCAGGTACATATTCAGCATGAATATGTAGTAGTTGATGGTCAGGGGCCAGAGAGACAGCTCAGAGGGTAATAGCACTGGCTGCTTTTCCAGAAAGGTCTGGGTTCGGTTCCCACACCCACAATGGTCTGTCTGTAACTCCAGTCCTAGGTAGGGAATCCAATGCCCTCTTCTGGCCTTGTTGGGCATCAGGCACACAAGTGCTGAGCAGACATGTATGTGGACAAAACACTCATAAAATTAAAAAAAAAAAAAGATAGCTTAAAAATATTTTCTAAAAAGAGAAAAAAAAAAAGTCCCTATGGTCTAAGATGTCTTTTTATTTTACTTTTATTTTTTGTGAGTCCCTCGATACAGGAGGGACTCAGAAGAGATAGCAGGCCACCCTTGTCCTTACTGTCTGTTGGTTGTGCTATCACAGAGGAAGTAAATGGAGGACACCTTTGCATACCTAACGAGACAACCATGCTTCTATTTTCACTTCCTAGTGACACCCTTTAGAGAACTGAGCTTTCATTGCTTGTGGGTACAGGGTGCTGAGGAAGAGCTCTGGGGTTAAGAAGAACTCCTTCTACCTGAGCTCCGAAAATGGCCAGAGAGTATGCCCTTAGCTTCCATGGCCTTCATCTTTCTTGCCTAGCATGTGGAGCTGGTGTGAAGAAGAAATGGGAAGCACCTATGTCCACAGAGGCCTAGTGCTTCCCAGGAAACCACCAATGTCACCCACCTTGCCTCTGAGCCATGCAGAGTTCAGACATTTCTAACATCTCCCTTTCAGGAAAACCTTCAGAGATCCGTGAGAGCCCACACACACAGGCATACACAGACATTTTGCACACAGCAGGCCAGAGGCAGTTCTCCTTAAAGGCCTGCTTGTGACACCCCTGGCTAGGATGCAGAAAACAATTCCCTAAAAGATAAGCACTGCACACTATGCTTGACTATCTGCGCAAACCACGTGGCCTGTGCTGAGCACCTGTTGTCCTTCCAGGCAGAGTGCCTACAGGACCCACCTCAGCAATGACCACCACTTGCTGAGTGTCTGATGGGATTCCTGAAGGGTAACACTGACACACTGTCACCACCCTGCTGGAGTGCATGCCCTGGGGCTGGGCTGGAGGTTCCCCAGATGCACACAGCTGGCCATCACCGGGTCCATTAGCTCCACCTGCCTTCCCTGTCCTGTGTTCCTTCCCTGGAGCAAACCACCGAACCACTGGGAGACCCCGAGCCTCTGCGACAACCAGCTTTTTCTGTGTTTTGTTCAGTGCAGCAGCAGCAGCAGCAGCAACCAAATCCCCATCTGTAAACTGCTTAACTGGCTGCGCTGACGTCCATTATTAGATACCAAAGGTGTCCCTGATCCAATGCCCACACACATCTCTATAGCGAGCTGCTTTAAGCTGAACCTGTGTGTGGCTTATTTCTCTAGTATAAAAGAGAAAGACACCGATTTTGGGGATCCCAAGAGTATTCAAAGTAGGAAAAAGAAGCTGTACCCATTTATACTTTTAAACACTTGTGTGTAAAGCCAGTCTCTCAGTGCTCTTGTTACTAGACTAACAGAGAAGATGAACTTGTGCTTGAGAACACTCACCTACAGCCACAGTACACAGCAGCACCAGACAGGTCTAAACAATTCACACACACACGTATTTAATAGTGACGACGCTTTTCCAGGTACCTAATAGAACATGGCAGACTCCAGCTTACCTGTAGCTTGTTTGCTTTCTCGGCCAG